TACACTGGTTCTGGAATCAGATGCTCTGTACACTGGTTCTAGAATCAGACGTGCTACACTGGTTCTGGAATAAGACGCTCTGTTCACTGGTTCTGGAATCAGATGCTCTGTACTGGTTCTAGAATCAGACACGCTACATTGGTTCTGGAATCAGATGCTCTGTACACTGGTTCTGGAATCAGATGCTCTGTACTGGTTCTAGAATCAGACATGCTACATTGGTTCTGGAATAAGACGCTCTGTTCACTGGTTCTGGAATCAGATGCTCTGGGCTGCTGTTCTTGTTGTTTATTGTGTGTGTTTGTGTTTCAGGGACATGAATGGCTTCGTGGTGTGGTGTTTAAAGGGCCAGTTCTCCACTCCAACTCCTCAGGCCAAGCCGCGCAGTGTCAGTCTGGACATGCGCAGTCTCTCGCTGGAAGGAACCGGTCCCCCGCAGCCTCTCAAGCCCAGGTGGAGTACTTTCACAGCTGTCGCTGCGGAGAACATCAGCATCATGGGATTCACAATGACACGAGATTCTCGCATGTCACAAACAGACTCCAGTGTTTGGATGATTTGACTGGTAAATTAGACTGAAGCAAATGAGCTGTTTGTCTCTGCAGTATCCACACAAGGTAGAACTATCTACTCAGAGCAAAGTGTTCGACCAGTGTCTCATTATATAGCTCTCCACCTCTGGATTCACAGCTTTAAATCATCTTTAGTGATTCTGTGTTGGCTTTAAACCACAGTGATGTAGCCTAGTGCTGACTGAACACAAAACCCTAGAGTGTAGGTGTTAAGAGTGGTTGCTAGGGTATTACTATGTGGTTGCTTGGGTGTTCAGGGTTATTGCTAGGGTGTTCTGACTGTCTGTTTCCATAGCAACCCTCCTGAAGCCCCACCGAAATTCAGCCGTCGCCGCAGTAAGCTGGACACACACAACCCGATGGAGGCGGTGTATGACAGTGGTAACCACAGCAGCATCCACGGTCTCACAGGTACAGCAACAGACAAACCAATCACATCATCCCTTCATATAACAGGAGCACACGCAATCTGTGTCCTATATAAATATCATGCATTTAACAATCTTCACATGTGAATTTGTCACGTGCCTCACTCTTGTTTGTGTTTGTCCTCAGCGATGGATGGAGTTCCTTTCTCTCTACACCCGAAGTTTGAGTCTCAGTCAAACTCAAAGGTCAGAGGCCACTGCATCACTCATTAACATGTGGATATATGTAAGAAATCACATGCATGTATCTGGTCATTACGCCTCAATGTGCTGTGACTAGAGTGAAGATTTCAGGGCAAGATGAGAGAGTTCTGTTCGAGAGATCGAAAGTCTTTGACCACAGGATGCTGTCATTAACCAATCACAATCACAGTGACCCATAACAGACGTGTTGTTGTGTGTGTCAGGTGTCTGTGAGCACGCTGAGTGACATCCGTATCAAATCAGTGCAGGACATTGAGAACGAGGTGAGGCGACCTGCATCTGCACCAAGCTTTATTGCTTTCGCAAGCACCATTAATAAGATTGTAAGACATCATTTTGAGACGATCATCGATTCTCATCGTTCTGGAGGACTTTTATTTTGAATCTGCCTTTGTTCGTGTTGATGGTTTGTCTGTTTCGTGTGTAGTTCAGCAGATTTCACTGACGGATTGTTTCTCTGCAGTATAACTACACGTTTGCGGTGGAGGAACTGGCAGCGAAGAGGATGTGTCCGTCAGTGAGCGGCTGAAAGCATTCCTCCCGTCTTCTCGTCGGATCAGAATCCCATTCCGTCAGATTGGCTCTCAGGCTCTGGTCCATGAAATCACACACTTATTTCTGGTTTAGGATGACCAAAACTCACACTACTGCTTTTGCAGGGCTGGTTCTGGTTGGTCTCATTCTCTCTTTTCTCCACCGGGTTGGTTGAACGTGAAGGATTTTCTGCATCCAAACACATTAGGTGCGTGTGTTTCTGCGAAACACTAACCGGCGAATCAAAGGGCTTGACAAAGTGCCTTCTCCACAGAGATATGTGCTTGTCATTTTATAAGGGCACAATATTTTATATATATATGTTTTGGGGATTTTGAGCTGCAGCTTAGTATTTAAAAAGTGTGGTTACAGTAATATTCTTTATTTATCGTATGAAAACTGTTCGTGGGGACCAAAATACAGTGTGTTTTTCCACTACTCTTTTGTACTTGCTTCGTTAAAATCTGTCTTTTTGTGGAATTTTAATAAAAATGATCATATTTGCAGACTTGCACAAAGGAAGTTGCGTTTTAACTAGAGCCACTTTCTGTAAAATTCCTCAAGTAGACCTAAACTGCTTTATATGAATGTATATTTTTTGTTTTACTTTTCTATATCTACATAAATGCCTTATTTCTGGATCATAAACAAAACCGCAGACGCACTTTTGTTTTGAAGTAGTTTACGGAAATAGTTTCTTCCGGTCGTCGAGGCAGCTCATTGGCTCGCTCAAGTGTCAGTCGTGTAGCCACGCCCCTTTGTGGGCGGAGTCAGTGCGGCCTGAGCGAGCGTCTCGCACACAATCACAGCGCTACACTGAAAACTGCTGCAGGATGGATCGAGGATATTCTTCAGGTGAGTGTTTTACTCGGTATTTATTTTATGTAAGAGTCTGTTTGTTCGCTGGGAGCGTGTATTGGTCTGTATTTAAGCCCTGTAACTCAACGTTACTGTGATACGGTCTGTGTTGGTCAAGTGCTTAAAATGGCGCAGCCTTCTTAAACGCTGTGTAAACCATTAAAACACAGTTAGTTAGGTTCCTTTAGTACCAGTATTGTAATTTTAAAGCGTTCTTTCATTGATTGCTGTCGATGTGAAGCGCATTGTTGTTGTCTTATTGAAGCGCGCGCATCTCGCATCGGTCTTTAATCAGCGGCTTATCAAACTAATCAGCTTTGTGAATGAATCACGCGACGCGCTGCGGTCATTCGGCGTCTGAAATCGCGTTAGTGAGTCAAAAGGGAAGAATCGCCGTCGTTTCTTGCCACACTTTCATTACTCGGTCACTTCACGATGGGATAAAATGGAGTCGTGTTGTAAAATGGCCGCCGTCTCCATTCTGCTGTAAACACATTACAGTACAGCTGTTTACTTCGAGTTTAGTGTCAATACGCAGAGTTTATAGTTCAGTGTACTGACATCTGAAATACCCCGTGCTATTATAGTTCATGTCTAGTACTGGCATACGTTTAAATCTACGCATTTTCTCTTGAGGTAAAACAAATCTTAGTTATTGTTGACGCCATGTCTGTAGGCTCAGGTACATTTCTGTCCAATCAGATGTCCTTTTGAGTGTCGAAGCCCCGCCCTCTAATGTCACCTGACTCCGAGCAGCCAGTAATAAGCCTTCATGGGTGTTATTACTCCACAGTTAAACCTGAAATGCAATTAGAAAGATTTCATTTTGGAACCTTTAGGTAATAGCTTTTTATAGGTGTTTTTATTTCTTCTTGAGTATCATATCTGCTCCATCAGGCTTTCATGGCTCAGTCTGATATAGGCCTAGTGAGAATATTGAGGGAAAAACAGCTCAGTTTTATTCAGAGGTTAAAGCAGTTTGCTGCAGATGCTGATATTTATGATGCTTATAATGTAAATCAATGAGATCTGTATAACAGTAGAGCAGAGACTGACATGAAATGCTATATATATATATATATATAT